ACCAAGCTTACAGTTGAGATTAGCGAACTAAGAAAGAAGTATGCTGAGCTTGAAGCTAATAATATCGAAGTCGAAGCTGAGAATGCAAAATTAAAACGAGACAAAGAAGAAGTTGAAGCCAGATTCTTGAATCTAGAGCAGAGAGATAGGGAAAAAACTGATCTTATCGCTAAACTGAAACATGATGTCTCACTAATCAAGGAGCAGAGCTTGCAAAACAGGGGTAATGGATATACTGATAACACATCTGATGATGCAGAGTATCGAACATCTGATTCTTCTGTATCCCCTGAAACAAATCATAATAGTGAACAGATAAACTTACGATGTGAAGACACTCCCGCATCTGATATAACTGATGATACTTCAAATTCCGACATATGTCAGGGGACAAAGACTCAGCTGGAGGTTGGTTCACGTCAATGCTCCACATCACCAATTTGTATAGGAAACAAATCTTCAGAAGATAAAGTGATCAATGAATTTCTAGACCTAAAAGAAAAGGAAAGGGTTAGTAATATAATAAGAGAGAAAAATAGAGAAAAGAAGCTTGGATCTCAAGATCCTTTATCATATGATAAAGATATTTCACAATATAATAAAAACAAAGTACAGAAATTCATGGTAGAAGTTTCTAAAAACTCTAGCTCGTCTATTAATAATAGCAATGCAGACAGTAATGTGATACCTACAACCCAGAATGAAACAGAAGAGTCAAAGACTCGATGCTTCGCATCATCTCAACCCAGCAATATTAGCTTCACATTTTTATACGAAAAACTTTGTAATGCTATAATTCTCGCTGACCGTAAAACCCAAGAAGCAATCTTCTGTTATTGTAATTTTGGTAAAGCTCTCATTCAAAGACGTAGTGAATTGGCATCAGAAAAACAAGTTGATCCGGAATCTAATGCAGTTAGTAGAATTTTAAATAAGGAAGTTCGCGCTCAGCTCCCTGCAAATATTTCTGACGCGCTTTTATGGAAGAGAATCGAAAAGGCTAAAAAGCTCTACAAACTTTTCAGTGTAATAGGTATGGATAAAATTTATCGAATACATTCCTTTTCCGCTGATAGTATCTCGAAAATGACAAA